GTCTAATCGGAGGCTCCTCTATATAAAATTTCTAGCTGTGTTCACCGAAAGGGCCTAGGAGCGTGACACCCAGCAGCAGCGAGCACACCTAGTTCCTGGATCTTGACTGAGAAACATGATTCCCTGCTTGTAAGAGTCCAGGATCTGAAGAAATGGCTGATTCCAGAGTCAGGGGGAAAAAAAATAATAGGTTAGTCTGGAACACCTTGTACCAAGAAGTGCTCAAAAAATCATGGGGCTGTGGCAAAAGGACATGGGAGCTGGCTTCCCCCACGGGACAAACTTTGGACAATCTGAGCATCAAAAAGAATGACAGAGAAAGATTATAACATATTGTATTTTTAAAAAGAAGACTCATCCGTGAGTCCACAGTAATCCTCAAAAACTGAGGTAGAGAAAGGGAAAGATCTTTACAGGAGAATGCCAGCCGATACATAGAGAAAAAAGGACGGCATCTTTGAGTCACTATTTTCAACCCCCACTATAATTACAGATTCAGGCAAAAATCATCCACCGGTAATCCTAACGGAATCGGGCTGTTGGAGAACAGGATACTCACATGGGCTATTGCCCCACGGAGTTCTCACCAATCGCAGTGGGAAATTGTGTCTGGCCTTGACCATGCAGCCAAACCTGGCACGGCCAAGGACGGGCAAACCCACCGCGCGTGCTCCTGACATGTTGCCACGGAAACACCCAGGTCCTGGGTGGTGTTTGTGCCCCACGCGGTTCACCTGAATCTGATCAGGAAGAAATAGACAGACACAGTCTGTGGGACAATCTGTGGGGCAGCAACTGGCCTGGGCTTTTCAAGAGTCCAGTGAAAAATAGACAGTAAACGGAAAAAGGGCGGGGGCTGCTCTAGATTAAAAGAAATAAAGAGACAGCACAACCAGATGCACTGTGTGAACTTTGATTGGATCTGGGCTCTTTTTTTTAAATAGCCATAAAAGGCACGTGAGAACAACTGCAGAAATTCGAATATGGACCGTACATTAGATGAATAAATGTTCGATTTCTTAGTTACGCCAACACGCTGTGCTTATGAAGGACAATGTTCTTACTCTTGGAAGATATTTGCTGAAGTACTCGGGGGTGAGTTTCATGATATCTGTGCCTTACATCCAAATAGTTCAGAAAAAAAGACAAAAATAACTATATATGGAGAGAGAGAGAGAACACAAACACGGCAGAATGTTAACAGTCAAAGCAAAGGAATACAAATGTTCACTGAACTATTCTTTCAACTTTTCTGTAAATTTGAAACAACGTCAAAATAAAGCCTTGGGGGAAACTAATAGCGCTGATGCCCTGGGACACTGACAGGAAGCTTGAGCCCTTCCTGGCTTCACTCACGACGCGTGGAGGGAAGCAAGTGGAGGCCCGCAATGCCCAGGTGCAAGGGCGACCTCCCTTTCTAGCATGGACGACCAATGGCGACAGTGCTGCCATTTGCTGAGGTAGCAAACCCTGGGGAAGGCGCCAGGTTTAGAGGGGAAAGGGGAGGTCAAACATTCAATCAGACATCTACAGACTCCCCAAAGCTGGCCCACGCGGGCCCTGGGTTACAACCCCCTGCTGTGGAACAAGGCAGGCAGGGCAGGGCAGAGGAGGCCATCCTGAAAGAAGGGAAAAGAGAAAGAACAGCCACCGAGGGGAGTAAGCCAGGAAGAGGGGTCCAACAGCACAAATGCTACCAAGAAGGCAAACAAGGTAAGGACGCTTGTTACTGGGAATGATTAAAAATTGGGTTTGTAAAAAAGATATTTTCCCCTACCTACGGGACAGTAAAAAACTTCAGGGATCAATTTAAGAGATGGAGGTGGAAAGTCAAGACGGTGCTGTCACCACGGCCCCTGCCCTCCTGATTCAGGGCCCCTCCCAGCTTACTCCGCCGAGTGGCCCTTCTCCCTCCAGCTGAGGCTGCCGGATGCCTGGGACAGCACTACCTCCCTGGTTCCACTCTTCCTGGGTGCTTTTTCTTGATTGGTGCTTTCTAAGGAGAAGGCAGGTCTTAGGGATTTGTAATGTGCTCTTTCAAAGGACTATGAAGGCTGTTTGGTGTCAAAGCAAGCCCAAACACCAAGAGGTAAGAGGTCAAAGGCTCTAAAAGCAAGCCCCATATAAAACCTTAAAAGTGGCCGGGCACGGTGGCTCACATCTGTAATCCTAGCACTTTGGGAGGCTGAGGTGGGAGGATCACTTGAGGCCAGGGGTTCAAGACCAGCCTGAGCAAGAACGAGACCCTATCTCTAACAAAAAAAAAAAAGAAAAATTAGCTGGGTGTGGTAGTCTCAGCTACTTGGGAGTCTGAGGCAGGAGTTGGAGGTTGCAGTGAGCTATGATCATGCCACTGCACTCTAACCAAGGCGACAGAGCAAGACTCTATCTTAATTTATATATAAAAAAAAAAAAACCTTAAAAATGAGAGAGATAAGATGGCTCAGAAATAATCACACCAAATCGAAGAGCGTAGCTGGGACAGGGAAAGAATAAACGAAGCTAGCCATATCCACAGGCATAACCAATTCATCAGAATGAGCTGGTCCTCTGTCACCAGCTGGAGAAACCGAAACCAGAGCTGGTTCTGCTAGGTGGGTAACATGTCCCACCCCAAATGGACCCACTGAATCAGCATTTTGAGTCTTCAACTGCTTGAGTCATATAGACCTGGTCATAATGGCAGAGAATAAAATATTCTCTCACGCTGGTCTCCAGTTACAGAGTCCTGACCACTGCAACTGGGAAAGCTGAGAACTTTTCGTCATCTCGCACATTTGCGAAATTCATTGGCTTTAACAAACTGTTCCCCGAACACCTGGCCTGTACGTTCTCCTCTAACCAGCGTGTGCTATATCATATTCAGCCAGCGGTTATAGGCTCTCACTTGCCTTGAAAAATAGGCATCAGCTGTCAGAGAAGCTAAAACCCATCTTGGCTCTGGGGAAACGTTCACTTCGGAGAAACACACACAAGCCAATTTGGTCAGACTTAATAAGTTTTAACAAAATCCAGGTGAAGGAATCTATCTGGAAAAACAGAAGAATCTTATGAGCAGCTCCAGAAATAATTCTCCCAGCAGAGGAAAAAACATGTGAAATCCTCTATACCATAGTGGAAGGCAACATAAAACTAGATTCCGCTAACGGGGAACTTTCATGTAACCCTGGTCTAAAATGGTGGTTCCCAAATGTCTCGGGACTGTGAAACCTTCTTGCATTTCCCACCCCCAACCCCTTGACTTGGAACCTTCATGCTTTGTCCTAATCAAGTTTAAAACTCATTAACTCTTAGAATCTTGTTTCCCACCTCCAAAGACCACAGACATGAACATCACGGAAGGGACTTTAAAAATATCTAGTCTGTATTATTCTGAAAGTGAGACATGAGGGACACTAAAGTTTAAGAGAAATTGTTCCTTATTCCAGCAGGATTGGCTCTATTTTACGTGCAGAGTTGCAAGGCCGTGTCTGCAACTCAGGAGAGCTCTATTTAACGTGCACGAGTACTCAGTAACATATAGGCATGCTTTTTATAGAGCCCCTGTGTTCCCAAATTGGCTTTAGGTTTGGAAACCCTAAGCTTCAGTTATGTGTCTCTGCTAATAATAGGGCTCAACTTCTCAAGCCTGCGAGAGATGAGAGAGCTTGCAAGGGGACGGTTCCCACCATGGGAGAATCCCAGAGAGGCAGCAAGACTGCAGCCTGAACCAACGAATCCACAGGGACTACTGCTCACCCACCTGCAAGCTCTGCCATTTTCCTCCCAACGCCCCCAAGGATCTTCCACCTCCCAGCACAAGGGACACACATACGATTCCACAAAGGCACACAGGCTTTGGAGTTGGGAGCCTGTTGCATAAGATAAAGACACATACTAGCCCCTTAAAGGAAAGTTTTAGAAGTTCATGGCTAAAATCCAACCAGATTATAAAATGATTCTTGACTAAGAATAAGCTAATGGCTGGAGCTTTATAGAATCTCAAGATTCTTCTATTATAATAAGATCCTACCACCAAACAGCTGTGAAAATAAACAAATGTTCCTGGATGGGTTTCCTCCAAGTGCAGGACCACCCCAAAACCTGGGCCACTGTTTATCATAGATACCTTAGTCAACATCAAGCGGGCAGAAACTTTCTGTTCACGCTCCTTCCACGACGTGGAGATGGGTGACTGACGGGCAAATTCAGATATAGCAAATGTCATTTGCAACTTTTCGGGCAAATAATTTGGATACAGAAATCAGTTAGGGTGGGAATTAAGTTAGATCATTTGTAATGTGTGCAAGCTCTCTTATTCACAGAAACCACATCTCCCAAACAGAAATAACAGATCCCAAGCAAAGTTCAACACATCTTTTTATGTACAAATGGGTCAACAGTACAGACAGAGTTACTTTTTATAAATATCTGCAGCTAATCCCCTAAAAAGATGTGAATAAACTCTCAGCACAAAAGGCCTAATCTTCCCCAAAAGTGTTAACTTCCCAAGAGCCTATTCTTAGCCAAACACTTGTGGGGCCTCCTGGGAAGAACAGGAGCACTTTGGGACCAAGGCGAGAGCCCTCCCACCTCCCCAGAGAGCGGAGGTGATTCGAAGGTCATCTGTTGCCCAGGTCTTGGGAGTGATTAAACTGTTTCTTCCCAAGACTCCGGCCTTCTTTGTCAAGCTGCTGATTAAGCAGTCTCTCTGTTTCCTGGCAGCGGCCCAGAGGGAGGGAGGAAAGGGACCTACAATAGTGTGAGGAAGTAAAAAACTCTGGGTATTTTGATAAAAAACATTTGGTAATCAATGTGACCCTGTAAAGCCGACGTATCGAATTCACCAGAGGGAAAATCGTAATTTAGCGTTCCGGGATCTACGAGAGACAGGCATTTCTTTAGGAAGATTGTTACTTAGCACCAATTTCTCTCTCTCTGGTAATTTTTCCTTTTCCTTCGAGCCCTTGGCTGTGATCAGCGCTGTCAGAGCACAGCTCAGCAGTCACACACCGCAGAACAAACAGCTCGCTCACACCGCAAGAAAGGCAGCTCTGCTCCGGGTCATCCGGACTGGGGAACCCGGGCAGCCCCGCGGCGGCCCGCAGTCTCTCCCTGGGGTTGCTCTTTGGCTCTGTCGGCCGAGGGCCTCACTCAAAGCGACGCAGGTGGTTGTACAGCGACTGCACGTAGGTGAAGACGCACATGGGGTCCGGCTTGCGGCCCATCACCATCATATCCTCCACTTCGATCAGGCGCTCACAGCTCGCCAGATTCCTGGAACACACAAGCCCTGTCAGAGCGATGGCCCCGGCGGGGCTGTCACCCCTGCCCCCAACACAGAACTCACCCTGGCACTGGACAATCCCAAGTGCCCACCAGCAGGGAGTTCAAATAGCCCCGGTAGAAGCTTCGGAGCCACCGAGTCTAAGGCAGCGTCTCCCAAACGCCCGTATCCATGAGCCACTAGGCAATTCATAGTTTCATTTAAATAGACTTAGCCTACTTAAGTTTTAGGTCAAATTATATTAAAGTAAAAGTATATGTCAGTGGGATATTGAAAACCACCATGAACTATAAAAATAAAGCAAAAAATTCAATGTACCCATTTGCCTCCTAAAAGTGTTTTTTGAAACTTATTTTTTTTACTGTGATCCGCAGTAAGGTATTTTTCATCACGATTTGGCACATGCACAAATACGCACACACACGTGGAAATAAAGCTTCACAGAAATACTTAACCTTCACCACGACCGATATTTGCTCTGTAACAGTTCATGTTTATTTCTCTTCTCCTCCTACTTTTTAAATGCTGATCAGGAAGCACTAAATTGATTTTACAATCTACTCATGGGTCGTAACTGGCAGTTTAAAAAATTGCTTAAAATCATCTGGCATCCCACATGGGGAAGAGCTGGTTTAATGGTGGCTCACTGGGGTAGACCAGTGTCTGCTGTGGCCGTTCACCGGGGCTCAGAGGGAGGCTGAAGGAGCATCTCAGCACTGAGTCCTGAAATAACAGCAGACGGCCTCCGGACGCCACGGATGCAGCCCCCAGCCTATGACTCTTAGATCGCAGCATGCCTGGGTCCCCTGGGCACCAGAGGTAGCCGGCTGGACGTGATCAGGCAGAACCAAAAGGGCACGATGGCACTTGGTCCGATTGTCAGTGCCCTTCCTTCAGCAGAGTGTGATTTTGTCATTTCAGGGATCCCCAGTTTTTGGTGTGTGTGTCTTTTTTCCATCAGTAAATGCATGAGTGTCAGAGTTCAAATCCCAGCTCCATCTCTTACTAGCTATGTGACTTTGAGCAACACACTTAACTTCTCCGGGCCTCAGTTTCCCCATCTGGAATAACATCCACCGCAGGGTGGTGTGAGGACTATGAGCTAATTTGTGCAAATCAGTTGGAACAGCACCCAGCATGTCAAGAGCTCAATCAGCGTTACAGGTTAGCACTGCTGCTATGACGGTGACCACGCCTTTGCTTTAAGAAGCAGAGTGGATCCCGGAGAAAAGAGGCCTGAACGTGAACTCTAAAGAGCTGGGTTCAGACTCCCAACAGCTTCATCTTCCTGTGCCCGTTTCTTCCACAGAGAATCAGAATCCCACCTCTGTTCTCCCTCCCAGTGGGCTTGCTGGGAGGTTGTGACTCTACCATGTGTTTTTATGCACCTTGTTCCCCAGAGAGCCCAGCCAGAAGGGAGACCCCAGTGAGCAAGGTGGGGGGCCCTCTGACCCACCCCAGAGCCTGCGAGCCAGTTCAGCACGACTCACTCAGCACTTTGCACCAGGACGCTGCACGGAGGCAGCTCCCCGGGCTGTGTGCTCCAGAGACAAAGACTGTAACATATTACCACCGGGCCTGCTCTGCCGTGCTGGCTGGGTGCCAGGCCTCCTATCAGAAACCAAATGTCAAGGCGAAATGGAGACATCTGTCCCGGATCCCATCCGCACCTCCCGCTCGGGGTTGGAGCGGGTGTCCTGTAAGGGAATCCAGTGGCTTTGTGGGGTGACAACTGGGTTTGGGCCAAGGAGCAGGCACCCTCTCTCCCCAGGACAGGCCAGGGCAGGGCTCGGTGTTAAGGCAGGCATGCAAAGGTGCCTTGTTGACAGGACAGGATGGAAAATCTGAGTTCTTTGGAGATGCCAAGGACCTGAATTCACCTTCCTGAGCTATCGCGTAGCATCTCGTGCCCTCCTCCTCACCTGCAGTGCAGGGAGAGCACCTTTCCTCCCTCCCAGGGCTGCTATTCAGAGAATCCCAGGTGTGTGTGAACAGGCTCCACACATGCCCCAGGTTATCAGCACTGACAGCAGCGGCCTCGGAGGTCCCGTGTGTTAAATGAGGACAGCAGTAGAACTCCAGGACCTTCGCCTCCAAACGTCTCCCTGTCCCAGCACCCCACTGGAAGCACCGGTCATCTCTCTAAAGGCCCTGCCTCCGCTTGCTCACCTCAGAGTCCAGGGAAAGGGGACCCCTCTGCAGATGGCTCTGGCCATGAGAAAGTTCTTCCTGGTGTTTCTTATGCTATTTGGCCTCTTTGTACTTTCTACCTGCTGGTCCTACAAGGCTATTTATCCTCAGCCTAATATTTCCTCCACAAAAGAGCCCTTTACATGTTGGAAGAGAACCTTCCTATCTATGTCTTTAAATATCTTTGGTTCCCAACCGTCGCCCCAAAGAGGACCTAGGACCTGCTCCTCTGAACCGGTTCTAGTTTCTCTCTAGCCCACTGCCCAGGGGGCACTCAGAATTGCTGGCAGTTTCCAGGTGTCGTCCAGCCTGCGTGGAGGAGAGAAGCTAACCCCCTTTCTCTTTGTTCTAGAGGCTGCACTGCCTAGGCAGTCTCTGAGATCAAGGTGGCAGTCAGGATGTTTGCCCTGGTGTCACCCTCCACTGAGCAGACAGCAAGCCGTGGGCAAGGCGCTGGCCTCCCCACCAGGCAACCAGGAGCCTGGGCCACAGCCTGTCCGGTCCCCACCCCACTGTTATCTTTAAGCTGAGCACACAACAGTGTGGCAGTTCCCAACGAGGGAGTCGCAATATGCAACAGGCAGCTGCCAGCCCCTAGCTCCCTCTTTTCCATCCCGCTACCACCTCTGCCCCTCACCCACTTCCTCCCCAGGGGAGCTCCAAATTCTCCCTCCCACAGGCAGAGAGCAGTCCTGAGGCCGTGGCACAGCCCACACCAGACCCTCAAGAGCACTTGCCTTCCACACCCCAGATTGTCCCTGCAAATCGCGCACTCTCCCTGGGAGACACTCTGGTGCCAGCTACGGCAGTCTAGGTTCAGCACCCCAAACCCAAAATCTGAAATGCTCCAACAAACATTTCCTTTGAGCATCATGTCAGTGCTCAAAAAGTTTCAGATTTTGGAGCATTTCGGATTTCAGATATTTGGAACTGGGATGCTCAACCAGTAAGCGTAATGCAAATATACCAAAATCAAAAAAAAAAAAAATCTGAAATCCGAAACACTTCTGCTCCCAGGCATATCAGATACGGGATACTCAACCTGTAATGGCAACAGTCCTAGAAGCTGCAGACACAAGTTGAACAAAACCTGGGAAACGGGATATGAGAAAGGGAAAGTGATGACCAGCATCGACTTTTATGAAAAAGATTTAAATCTCAAAATATTAGAGGCCCCATTTGCCTTTTAAACTTAAAACTGCTTAGTAAAAATGATATAAGTTTGTTTCAAATAATTCAAACAACATGAAAAAGTCCAAAGGAGAAAGTCCAAATCACTTCAAACACCACCGCACAGCAAGAATCAGGCTTGACATGGGCCGACTACCATTTTTAAAGTGGATTTGCCTGAGCCAACCTGGTTGGGATGGGGGAAAGGTTTCCTCCTACTCCCATCTGTTACGATCTTCAGCTACCACAGGGCTGGCCTGTACGGGAGATGGAGGAGAGGATGGGGGGGCTTATTTTTATTTTTTTAAGCCTGCTCTAAATGCAGACCAGGATGCCAGGGCTCGGACTACTACCTCCTGTCTGGTTTTAGACAGAGACACATGGGCACTACAAATAGCCTGGAAGCCCCTTCTGCTCTGGCGTAACCCGAGAGCAGGACACATTCCCCGCAGGGCAAGGGGGGAGCCTCAGGCTGCACGTCCTGCACTCTGCAGCGAAGGGAGGAAGGGTGCAGGAGGGTCAGCAGGCGCCCGCCCGGCTCAGCCCCTTCCATAAAAGGGGCTGGTCCTCCCTCGTTCCAGGCGCTGAACACCTGTCAGGCAGGGGAAGCTCGCCGTGCTGTCAACACCAGATCACTCACACAGATTAGGCCACCGGGAATCTCTGGGACCATAAATTACGGGAGGGGCAGGGGGAGGGGCAGCACACGCCACTTTTACTCCAAAGGTCTCTGCTGTGTCTTGGTGCCTTTAAGGCACTTGCTCACGGAAGGGTCTGGAAACGTTTCCTTCCTGATATGAGGTGGACACACGGTTTGGGGACCCTGTGTCCTCCTTTCCCTTCCAAAGGTTGTGCCTTCATCGGACCCCAGGCTCCTCTCATCCCACACTGCCTGCTCCCAAGACGGCCTTTCTTATCTCTGTCCTGTGCCTGCACAGCCCTGGATGGTGTTCAATGGCCCCACGTGTCTGCCGGGCTTTTACTGGTGAACATAGGGAGTATCTGCGTTCGACACTGACAGGCGTATCCTCAGCAGGTGTCCCTGTGCTTTTTTGTCAGCTTTTCTAACCAGCCTGTTGTCCAAGAAATGAGGTGATCCAAGCTGCCATCCTCCTCCCGGGGGCCCCGGGAAAGGCAAGCCGTCTTCCCAGCCCTCCCCCCACGTACCTGAGAGAGAATGTCATGGATGACTCATGAGGAGAGGTGCCTTCCCAGGCTCCGAGCAAGCTCTCGGCACAGGCCTGCTGTGGACGCCCCTCCCTGCCCCCTTGAGTCAGCAGAAAACCAAGAACTTATCTCAGTGGCCGCATCAAACCATCCTCCCCTCCCCTGCCAGGAGCAGGCTCGGGCCACAGGGACACAGGGCCAAGGTTTCCACCCTGCTGTTTGCTCCGGGGAGGAGGGAGGCAAGGCCTGGACCAGGCTCTACCACTGCCCCCCAGGGTAGGAATAGAAGAAACATCTGTTTGGAGTCTAGAGTCTCCATGAACTCAAACCTCGTGCTGGGAAAGCGCGGCCTGGAATGGCTCTGGCTCCAGCTGCCAAGGGAAGTCGTGTTCCCTGCGAGCTGGGGTGCAGGGCCACTACCCCACGGCTCAGGGTGTCCTGCTCCCTGCCACAACCCAACTCGGTCCAGGGCTGAGGGTGACCAAGTTGGCCAGGGCACGAGCTGGCAAGCCGAGCACGGCCACACCTCTGGGCTGGGTGCTGGGGTGCCCGCAGCAGAGCCCCAACCCCCACACTCCCACAGCCTGGGTTCTGACAGTCACCGAGTCTGGGCTCCACGCAGCTGGGCCTCCTCCCCGGGAGCCACCCCTCCCCACCACGTGCCCTCACACTTGGCTCCGTTTCACCAGCGTCTGGACCCCGTTGCACAATACACTCGTCCAAAGCTGTTTCTGCAATTAGGATGACAACTAATCCCGAGCAGCCAAGAAGCAGAAGGCTTTTAAAGAATACAAGGAGTTCTTACGACCCCAGGGGCTGAGAGTCCAGCGTCGCCAGAGACAACACACGGGGGCCGATATGGATATTCCAAAAACGCAGGCAGAGGAGCTCAGGGCCAGAGTCTCAATTCTGCCCCCAGAGCGGGCATTGCTGCTCCGGAGAGGGGCGGCTGCCCCAGCTCCAGGCGAGACTTACACGATACCAACTGAGGGTTACACACCCACCGGCTCCGACTCCTTCCCTGGCCGGGCTCAGGGCCGGGGTGGGGGTGGGGGCGGAGGCTGGGGCTGGGTGGTCAGGCCCTGGGGTGAGGCCTCCTTCAACCCAGCAAGCGTATGAGGACCAACCCCTGGACACAGGCCCTGACGACCCAGACAAAAACGAAGGCTGAGCTGACAACACAAGGCACAAAGGCAGAAAGAGGATGATAAACAAGCCCTCTGGGAGAGTCAGCTCTGGCAACCGCCTTCCTTCTCTCTGACCTTCAGAGAGCTTAGCGTCCAACAGCCCTGCGCAGCCCCACGCATCCCTCGTCCGTGCCCTACTCCCTGCCCCGGGGGCTGTGATGGATCAACGGTGTTCCAGGCCCCTCTGTCTGCTGATTGGGTCCAGCCAAGAAAAGGCCCTGGCGTGAGGGCAGGAGGGGAGTGAGGTCAGAGTACTTAGCCCACGGCTCTGGCCCCGCCAGGTCACTGCGAGCCGGCCTCATCCACTGCCCAAAGCACAGCCCTATCGGACAGTCCTCTGCACACAGCTGTTCTCCCCTGTTCCCGTAACTCCAGCCGAGGGCTGTGACAGCTCTCTGCTGCTGCACTAGGCCTGGCTCGTGCACTTCATTCCTGCCCACGGCTTTGTAAAGAGTCCCTTTATTAAACTCTCCTGTCCCCAGCCCGAACCCTGCCACACAGACCCCGCTCTGCCAGCTCTCCTGACGCTCTGGGCGTTGCCTTTGGCCATTAACCAAATCCCAAGCCGGCTTCCCAAATGCCTCCTTTCCCAGAGCCACTCCCCCATCCACAAATCTTCTCCCTCAGAGTGGGACTTAAGAAGGTAGGCAATTTCATAGTAAATGCTAGAACAGTATTTAGGGATGCAAAATCTTATTGGAAGCAAAAATCTACTTTTAAATGTCCCAGATATTGCCCAATTTTTTGCAAATTGGCAGCTGTGGCTCATCCAAGCCAAGTACCTCTCTGCACCAGCCCAGAGAGGACAGGCAGAGTGCTCTGGAGAACCCTGTCCCACTGCCCCTCACATCTGGTCTGTGGCCAGTCTCCCAGACTGCACCCCTGAGATGGGCACACAGCAAAGAGGGCAGGCCCCCCAGCAACAGCTCTGCTACACCACTGAGTGCTGTGTGACCCTGGCAAATCCCTCTCCAGGCCTCAGTCTTCCTATCTGTATAAAAGGTAGGCAGACTGGAGGGCCTCAGCTCCTTCAGCTTTGCAGAAAGCCGCCCTATACCCCACTCACCCCTGTCCCCTATCTGGGGCAGAAGTTGGGCTCCGGGACTGGGCTGGGGACGGTAGCTGGTGGGACCTGCCATACTCACTCGGCCATGGTGAAGGCCAGCTCAAAGTTCTTCTGCCGCTGCGTGGGGCTCAGGCTGTTATAGTCGAAGGCGTCAGGGAAAAAGGAGTGCACCAGGGCACAGAAGGCCATGCCGTCGCTCCAGCTGGAGGAGAAGTTCTGCAGGTCCACGTGCTGCAAGCACAGCGAGCGGGGTCAGTGTGGGGGCCTAGATACGGAGTTCCTGCCATGTCTAAGCACACACCACAGGCAGCCATGTACCCACTCGGGACGAGTAATTTCTCCGGCTCCTCCCTCTTCCCCCCAGCCTGGGTAGGCTCTAGCCCTGGTCGGGGCGATGCTTGGTCAAGCCTCTGACCAGGGGTCCCAGCAGCCAGCGGGGGGCCCTTGGGCCTCACCTGGTAGCCCAGGGTCTTGCTCCGGCACCACTCGAGCAGGATCTGCTTGATGCTGCTGGCGCTGGCCACGCCAAAGCTCTGTGAGCGCTTCAGCTTGGCCCGGGCCTCCCCTCTTCCCCTGTGGAGAGAGCGCAGGCCTGCTATGGGGGCCACCCCACCTGCCGCCATCTCCCACCCAGGTGTCCCTACACCCCCAGGGAAGATGCCCCAACTGCTCTGCTCACTCAGGAGAGACACTCTGTCAGCATGCAACCCCGGTGCCCCACAGAGCAGCTACACAGCCACCTCTGATGGCATCTATCAGGACCCCTCCAGGTGCCCTGTTTATGTCCCATCCCAGCAGGCAAGGGTCCCTTGGTGATCCTGAGACAGCAAGAGCCACATGGCCCTGTGCCCTGCCCTCTGCCTGCAGCACCTTCCCCTTCCTTTCCTCCCACCCTCCTCCTGAGCCCCCTCTTCATGGAGGGCTTCCTTCCCCAGTGGCTCCTTCCTAGCTGGGAGGGACAGTGACCTCCTCTGGGCCCCAAGAACACTCCCTAAGGGCTGAGACCAGATTGTGTGGGGTCAGTGGGGACGCTTCCTGGGTCTGCCTCTTTCACTAGCATTGAGCAGGGACTGGCTGTGACTGGGGGTGGGGATGGAGGGACGGGCTTGGGCCCTGCCCTGCACACAGTAGGCATCAATGCCATGCGCTGACAGGAGGACTGGATAAATATGCCAAGGCAGGCCGTAGCCAAGGATCCCATCTCTCATGGGGTGTGGTAGTGGGCTGGTGGGCACATGGGTCCCACTGTGTCACCTCTTCCTTGGGCCAGTCCAACTCAACGGCTGAGCCTCCCGGCTCTGGCCAGGAATCCCAGTCCCCTCCCAGTCCCCAGTCATGCCCAGAAGCTAAACCTGCCACAGCCTACGGGTAATGCGGGTGTGAGGGCGGCCTGGGGGAACTGGGGGCACAGAAGACCGGCTGCCTCAGGGATGCAGGAAAGGAGAGGGGCTCTCACAGGCCCCGCCGGCTCACAGCCCTCTTCTCCCCACAGCTGGGGCCCCTGCACCCCCAGCCTGCCCTGTGCCTTGTCCGAGATGTCTCATCTTGGGAACGGTGCCCTGGGGAACAGGACAGGACCCGGCCTTGCTCTGCTGTGCCCACCTCACCCGTCTGGGTCTGGGCCTGCTCTGGGGCCCCCAGCGTGGGCTGTGGCGAGCGTCCGTACTTGCCCCCCGTATCCTGCTCCCACTTCTCAAACAGCGCCTTCCGGGCCTGCGCCCCTGAGGTGCGGGGCAGCGTCTGCGACCTCACCAGCTCCCTGCGTCGCTCCCCCGGGCGATGGACCTGAGTCGTGGCTGGTGGCTGCGGGGACGCGGGCGACTGGGGTGGCGTCACCAGCGGTGGGCTGAGGAGAGAACCACCCAGTGAGGAACACGGAGCCAGCCGTCACTGGCTCACCCGGCCCCAGGGTCTCCCTCCACACTGAGCGTGAACGAGGCAGGCCGTCTGCACCCACCACGGGTGCTGGGTGCCAGTCAAAGAAGCCGCCCCACTTGCTCCAGTCCCCAGCTGGCTTGACAGGTTCTCTAAACTGAGCTGTCTTGGAAGCAGGCCTAACTTGGGGGAAGCGATCCCCCTCCCTGGACATAATCACCCCTTGGCAGGGATGGAGGAAGAGAACGTGGAAGATCCTCCTATCCCCCTTCCTTCCATGGGGGCTGAGACGCCCCCTCCAATCTTTCGACTGACTTGCTTTGAAGGGTCCTCAGAGAAACCAGTCTGCAGCCGTATTTCTCCAAATGAAACTCCCCACCAAGCCCCGAGGCCTCATTTCTGCTACCCAGACCCTACTCACCACCCGACTGCCCTAGCGCTCCAGAGGCCCGGCCCTCCATGGAGGCCGCAACCCAAGCAGGGTACCCGCCCTGGTCAGCACAGGGAGTGCCCACAGATGGCCTGAGTGGCCTGGGTCCAAGGCTGAGAGGCCGCTGGGGAGCCATGATCCCAACGGGAAAATGGCCCTGACTCACCTGTCACTGTGTTTGCTTGCTGCCACCGCCCCAAAGCCAGAGCTTGACAAAGACCGAGTGAAAGGGGGATTCTTCTCTGCAGAAGAAGGCAGGGAGAGAAATACCAAGCCCTGGCCTCAGGGAGGCGCCAGCCCCAGCCTCCATCCCTCCCTCTGGCCCAGCCCCTTTACCCAGCATCACTCCCCAGGCAAGCAAGGGCCCCTGGGCTGAGCCGGACCTGCCCCAGCAAGCCAAGGGGAGAGAGCAGAGCAACAACATGGAAGAGGTCTTTTAAACTGTCCCCACCTGCTCTCAGAGCAGAGCCTGGGGCCTCCCATGCTGTGTACCCAGCAAATGCTGTTCCCACACCCTCCTTATGGAAGCCCATGCAGCTCCCCCCAGGCCCAAGTCAGGCCTGGGGGTCCTGGGGAGGGGACTGTGCCAAATGTGCAGGGCAAGAGGCCACCTTCCAACCACGACCTCAGCCTGTATCAAAAGCCACAGCTGCCCCCCACAGGGATGACACTGTTTCTCGTGACCTCTGGAAGGAGTCGGGCAGGGATGGGCAGAGGGAAGGGGAGGCAGAGGCGGGCTGGGCGTGGCCCTGGGTTTTTCAGGTCTCCTGCCAACTCCCCCAGCCCCTGCCCTCCCTCTCCCACATGGAGGTGGGGTCTGCCCTCAAGCCACACTCTCCAGCTCCTACCACTGGGACTGGGAGTCCAGGATGTGGGGGCCTCACTGGGGCTTGGGGTGAGGCCCCCCAGGATGGCAGCAGATGTGGGCGATAGAGCGGAAGCCGAGGTCTCCCCAGAGAACCTCTCAGAGACTCGGGTGACGGCTGTGACCGGCTGGTGGGGAAGCCGCAAGGAGAGGCTCACAGGGCGAGGCTTGGGGGGCTCCGGTGCCAAGAAGGTTTGGGCAACCTCAGGGGGTCCGTCACCTGGACCTGGAACATAAGACCAGCAGGGTTAGGGGGTGAGTTGTGGCAGCCACAGGGGCCTCACACCTCCCAGGAGGGCTGCAGCCTCCCTGAACTCTCCTCCCACCTCCTCCAGGAAGGCCCCCCTGACCTCTCCTACCACGGATCTCTTGCTGCTCCAACTAGAGCTGATTCTCCCCAACTTCTCCTCGTAGCCAGCCCAATAAATACTGGTTGGCTTGTCCATCTATTCTCTATCCTGTTCAGTGCTTAGACAAATTCCTCAGCCCCTACTTACTTTCCTCCAGAAATAGAGAGGCTCACTACCTTCTGAGACGGCCCATTTCCCTCTGTGTGTAAAAAGTTCTACTTCACACTGAATGAGGCTGCTTTCCTGGCAGCCTCTCCACCTGCTGGGGTTCAGGCTCAAGTCCCCCTCAGCCAAGGGATGGTCTGGCCTTGACCCCAAACCTACCAGTCACCACTCCTCTGCCCTCAGCCCCTACCTGCCCCCGGCTGGTGCCCATTCTCGATGACACATGAGTTTGAGGTCCTTCTCATCTCCAACTCACTGGCTTCGTCATGATCCACACTCTGCAGAGACACAAACATCACCAAGACCCTGTCAGCTAGGGCCAGCTGTCCACCCAAAGCCCCTCCTGGAGTTTGGTGGCAAACATCAATCATGCTGAGAGAAAACCGGCCCCAGCAGGTACAGTGATGGGCCAAGCCACACAGCAAGGTGGATGGAGCCACCCAACGCTGAGCCCCCGAGATCCTGAGAGGCAAACACCCCCATTGGGCTCATCCCAGGGCACAAAAATGTCGAGGACAAAGGTCAAGACTGAGGGTTTGGAAGTGTGTCCGGCTGCCCCACCCCTTCCCCTAGGCTGGACCAGGTGATGGGGGTTGGGAGAGCCTGGCCCCCTGCCCCTCCCAGCTGGGCCAGGCCAGCGTGGCTGTCTGTGGAGAAGACACAAGGTCCTTCTGGGCCAAGATGGGCAGCAGAGCCCCCTCACCCTGAGGCCTTTTCATTGTCTGCAGGGACACAAGACTGACCCTGACTGGGTCAGGGTCAAGGACCTGACTGGCTCCATGCGACCTTCCGGTCCCCGCAGGGCAACAGCAGTGGGTGGGGCAGAGAGCCAATGTGGGGCCTGGGAGCCTGGCTGTGCTGCCACCCCACTGCATGACCTGGGCCACACCACGTCCCCTCAGGGTCTCGGTGGCCCTGTCTAAGAAACAGGAGCAGGCTGCACAAGTACCACTTGGCATCTACTGAACGTCAGGCCCTTCCTCCAGGCACAGCACTTCCACCAACTTGCTTCTGTCCTCCCAGGTGGGTGCTGCCAGCCCCCTGTGACAGGTAGGCTGAGGGGATGTGCACTGCCTAAGGTCATTCAAGGAAAACGCCTGGGATGTGTGGCAGGAGGGAAGCTCTCCTCAGCCTTGGTCCTGCCCTCCTCCCAGTGAGGGGCTGTGGGGGGCTGAGAGTGTCTGTGGAGCTGGTGGGGGACCCACTAAGAGCCCATGATGGGTGGCCGTGCCACTCCCCAGATGCCTGCAGGCTGGCGCCCTGGTCTACATGGTTCCCAGATGAACAGCATCGCGTCCCTGTCCCCAGATGGCTCAGCTCCTCTTGCAACCTGTGCAGGAGGTGCCCACCCTGCCTGTGGGAAATCAGTCTGGCAGGCTGATGAGCCAGGCTCATGATTAGACGGGGCTGAGCCACCAAGGAGAGGCCTAGGATAGACTTCATCCAGCCCAGCGGGGCACGGAGAGCTCCCCAGAGCCAGGGGTGCCTGAGCCAAGTCCTGAGTGAGGCAGTTGGGCTAAGAGGGGAGTCTGTGAGCACATGAGTGATTAATGTCTGCAAAAGCAGGGAGACATCAAGGCACAGGTATTCTGATCACACACAACCAGAGCATGGGCAGGCAGAGAAGCACCTTGCAGCCCAAGCTGCCTGCCCCAAGCACTTGGACTTGACACCTTAGACGGGGAGACCAAGGTCATCAGCTCTGTCTTTTAGGAACATCCTCTGAAGCCAGTGAGAGAGCAGCATAGAAGGGGAAACCAGAAGGCAAGCCCCCACTAGTCCCTGGGAGAGGGGCCAGTGGGCAGGCCAAGGGCAAGAGGGACTTGAAGATTTTGGAAGAAAGGGACCGAGCAGAGAGAGAGAGAGCACGTGGAGGGAGGGAGGATGCCAAGCCTCTTCCAAGGCCAGGCTTGGGGACTGAGCGATTGGGGAGCGGGGGGTCGTTGGTGGGTCAGAGGCAGGTCTGGGAGGAAACAAGGATTTCCATTGTGGACAGTGAGTACAAGGGGGCCTGGGACATGAGGGAGCTGATGAGGTAGCTGGATATTTAAGTCTGAAGTTTAAGAGAAAGGAAGGGTAAGTGATGGAAAACAGGAGTTGTGGCGACCAAAGGGCCCCTAGAAGCCCCCGACAGGAAGAGCCAGCCTGGGGCCCGCAGGGGCCTGGGATGAGGCACCCGTCTCAGGGAGCAGAGCAGCCGTGGAGGAGAGTGAGAAGGAGCAGCCAGAGAGGTGGGAAGAAACCCAGGAGAGTGCCGAGAAAGCCAGGAGAAGGCAGGTGCGTCCCACGGCAGCCTGAGGCCAAGGAAAAGAAGGTCAAAATGAGATGGAACAGGCGTCCATCTGGTTTCACAAAACAGAGGTCACCAGTGATCAGAAGCCTGGGGACGGGCTGGGGGAGCAGTCAGAGAGAAATGAAGACAACATAGTAACTTTAGCCACAGGGGGCTGGGGAAAGGGGTCTGAGGGGTTTGTCCAGATGGAAGAGGCAGGACCACGTTTACATAGGCTGAGAGAAAGGCGAGGGGGCCATCTGCAGGGTGGGGTCCCTGGCGGGTAAGAAAGGACAGGACCCAGAGCATGGGGAGAGTCCGGCCTTGGACTCAACTTCTGATTTAGGAGGAAAGAGCAGGAGAGGCCAGGCCCATTCGCAGGGACGCTGGAGAAGGGTGTGCAGAGCCACCAGGGCAGGAGAACCAGCCAGTCCAGCTGGAACCCCAGCTCCCACTGTCACCAGGGCACTGGGCTCGGGGGTCTCCATGTCCCCCCACCCACCCCACTCTGGTCTGACAGGTTCCACAGGTCTAGGCAGGGGCCTGGAGGGACAGGCTGATGGCGAAACCATTTTCCCAGGAATGTGTATCTCTGGGGGGAGGGGGGTCCCCAGATGCCTGTCCCTGCACGTTGCAGGGCCCCCACCCGCTGTGATGCCCCAGGGGACCAGACACCACAACCAGCCCCAGATGGGAAGCAGGTTCTGTCTGCTGGATTCCTGCTGAGGGGTCTCCAGCAAAGGGAGAAGGGAAGGGGCTGTGCTAAGGCAGGCTGGGAGGCTGAGCCCGGACCCCCAGGTTCCCCGTCCCTCATCTCCCAGTCATTCCTCACCTGGGGAGAGCGCTCTCTGCCGCGTGCCTCAGCTGAAAGAGTAAGGGGCTATTCTGAGACCACCCTCCAAACCACCACCACACAGATGGGGAAACCTAGCCCAGGGTGGGCTGGGGGTGCCCCTAAACCTATACCATGCCAAAAGGTAGTGGCGAGTCAAGGTTTGGGACTCAGGTCTCCTACCCAATCCAGAGCTCTGTCCATAAAGCACCCCCGCCTTCCAGAGGGCAGAGAGGGCAACCCAAGACAAACCTGTCTCCTAGGACCTGGGCCAGGGTGAGCCCTGGCTCCACTGGACCTGTCCCAGCTACATAAGGCTGAGGAAAAGGGGTCACCCTGGGGTAACCCCCACAGCAGGACCATCAGAGAACATAGAGCTCCTGAACCAAAGGGCTGGGCTGGGCCGGGCTGGAGCAAGCTGTTCTCCCAGGGCCCAACCCCTCCCAGGGCCTCCAGCACACTCCCCAGTGGGCTGCTGTCTTCTTTTGGTGGGGGCAGCCTGTCCCAGCCACGGCGAACAGAACCAGGGAGGGGACTCTGTGTGCCGGGGCCAGGGCAGAAATCACTGGAGAGTCCTGGGACTGGGGACAGGTCCTGCTGAGCTGGCCTGATACTCCTGAGATTCCCCACCCCTGCCTTGGCTTTACGAAGGGGAGGTGCCCCATGAGGGAGCCTACAGCGGTGGGGTGTGTAGAAGGGATGGGGGGCCGAGTGTGATGGGGTAAGTCTGATTTCAGGGACTCCTGTAAATGAGACTCTTACTGGGAAGTTTTTAAACATTCTGCAGGGAGACTGAATATTTCAGGCCTTCTTGGCACTGCCTGACCCAGGTGGGCCCACACGTGCAGACAACCGACGCAGGACCAGCACCCCCATCCTGAGACGGCTAACCCCGCTGCCCCGGCCTCCTCCACTCTCACACCACCGTTTTAAAGGACTGGATCCAAACCTCTCCCTAAAGCATTTAAGTCTCTTATCACGCAGTGTGTCTGGGAAAGGAAGGCAGATAAGGCAAGTCTGGTTTCTTTCACGGTCAGGCCTTCGACACCGGACTCCTGGCAGCTACTCCTGAGAGACTCCACTGCCTCTGCCACGGGGACCCGGTGGCTCCATCTTAGCTGATGATGACATTTCCAGGGAACAATTCTGGCCCAGCCTGCTGGGGCCTGGGCCTGGCCTCAGGCTGCCGCCATCCACCCAGGGCCCCAGCTGGCTCCTGGCTTCCTCCTCCCAGCCAGACAGCAGCAGAGGCTCCCAGGACACTTCTGTTAGCCAGATTCCCCCCAGCCCACTCCACCAATCTCCCTCGGGTTAGATACAAGGAAACCAAGGTCCAGCTGGGAGGAGATGCTGCCAGGGCCTCACAGCAAAAGCTCCAAAAGCATATCCTATCTGCTCCAGCAGCTCAGGCCTCCCGCAGGCAGTCTTCCCTGATTACTGCCCCTGTATTGCCCTGTCCCCTTCCTCCTGCCCAGGCTCCTCTAAACATTCCCCTGTCATCCCGGGTCCACGTTCCAGGCTGCAGCAAGGCCAAGGTTTGTGCACTCGGAAGCTGATTACTTGATCAACCCTTTCTGCGTGGAGTTCAGGCACATTTATATGCTGAGGACAATTCACCTCCAACCCCGTCAGTCCCCAGTTTGAAAGCAAATGGGTCTCTAAACCTCACTGCTTGTTTACAGAGGGGTGGCAGGACACCAGCCTCTGCAATGCCTGACCACACACCAAGCCAGTGCACAGCCACCACCAGCTCTGCAGGCGGATGAGACCCTCACCCCTAGACCCCCGCCACACAGACACAGAGTATGACACGCTAGCTGTTACTAGCTGTTACTCTCTGTCCGCACTCCAGTCTTGCCCCAGAGCCCTGGTTCCTTGTTTGTGTCCAAGAACCCAATCACACACTGCTGGTCCCAGGATATGAGCCGGATGTGGGGATGGCTCCTCACAGCCCCCCACTCCCAGAAACTGGCCTGAGCTTGTGTCAGTGCTCCTGGGGGGTGGGGTAAATGGCAAAAGAAGTGGGGACTGGGGCTTCTGGGGTCAGGTGGAGGCAGCTGCCTCAGGCCCAGGGAGCCAGGGCTCAAGGGGTATGGACCAGTGACCCTGCAGGGGACACCCACAGTGCTGGGCTACACTTGCTGCTCAACGGCCCCCTCAAGCCTCTCTGAAGTTCACAGCCTGCTCCCCAACAGGATCTCCGTCCTCAGTCCCCAACAGGCTGAAGCATTCTGCCGACCCTGACCTCTTGGAGAAGGGCTCCCCTCTCTGGCATTCTAAGAGTAGGCTCTCTGGGTCCTTCCCGCCCCCTGGCAGTTCCTGGGCCTGGTTTTTGTTTCCTTTGGTCTCGTTTCCTCTGCTCAGAGAGTTTCTTAACTTCCAGCCTCCACCACTCTCTGGAGCACCAGATCCAAGAATCTACCTGTTCTGGGACAGCTGCCCCTGCATGTCCCACAGCCCCTCACGTTCAGCGCCACTCAAACAGAATATCCGTCCAGATCTGTGACCCAGTAGTCCCCCAAGGCAGGGGACTCTCTGCCTCCCTCCTCATAGCCAGAGACTACCCTGCCTGCTGGTTCCCCCTTCAAAACCCCTGTCCAAAGCAGCCCCATCTACACACCACTGCCTAGCTCCAAGCTTTTCTTTCTCCTTGGACCATTGCAATGAAGTTACCTGTCTCCAGCCACCCTCCAACCCGCCATCCCTCCCTAAGAGAGCTTGGCACCCACCACCCCCATAACCGAGAGGACTAGCTTGGCACTCAATGGTGAATAATGGCCGATTCCCACTGGAAAAAAGTCATGACCGGAGAGAATCCTCTCATGTGTACATGTACACATCTACATGCATATATGACATTGAGTTTTTCTTAAAACTTGGAAAGCTGCTTCCATGAGCAGACAAATAGCAAAGGCATATTAAAACCTCAGAAACAACTGATGACACAGTTTATCAGGCACATGTGAGCTCACAGTGGTGACTTTATACCATGGAAATGTAGAGTGTCATGCTCATAGGACAGACTTAAGTGTATCCGTATTTCTAAACAGAGCAGTGGGACACCCAACAGGTTCTGCCAACAGAAAAAGTTTAAGAACCTCTCTCCCACTGGACAAAGCTCAGCTCCTCTGCCCAGCATGCTGGGGGCTTTCACAGCTCATCCCTCCACTCTCATACTCAAGGTGCCACTCATCTGGCCAGATTAGCACCAGGAGCAGCAAGCCATGGTACAAACCCCCAGTACAAAACCTTCCCGGGATACACACTGGGAAGGGACTACTGTGTTTGGAGCAGAACATCTCCGGCTGTCTGCACTGCTGGTACTGTTTGGTCTGTGGCCATCTCCCACCCCAGCTGGGACCTCCAGGGACAAGGCCTAATAAGATCCCCTCCTCCTGGCCCCCTGAAGTTTGGCCCAGTCTGCAGCAGGAAATCTGAGCGCCCAGTGGATTGAACCTAGGAGGGGCAACGGGTGCAGACTACTCAGACCCAGACCCTGGAAACCCAGCCCCAGAGCACACGCCTCACAGGGATGGAAAATCCCACCTAAGGGCCACTGCGCACACCATGGAAACATTCTAACCCAGACCTGCCACCCCGGGAGGCCCATGCTCAAGGTAGTGACTGGTCCACGCAGGCCTCCACCCCACCCCCACGTGGCTTGGGCTCTGGCCATTCACTGACCCCAGTAATCTAGACACCGCTCAAGGCCAGTTTCCCCCCTCTCCCCCTTCACGGTAAAGGATTTGCCTCCTGCAAAGCAGGGCTCCCAAACGCGGCTGCTGGGCTGCGCCCCAACCAGATTGTGTCCCCTTCCACCCCCTACCCCCCAGGGGCTTGAGTTCTCCGTCTGGGTTAATCAATAACTGGAGCCGTCAGGCCTCAGTGAAGCAGCAAGGCAGGGGGGGCGTGAATGGAGATGGAGGGGTGCAGGTAGGGGGTGCTGACCATTCCAACACGCCCAGCGTGGCCCCAGGCAGTGAACGGTCAGGGCCCCTCACGACCCATACCTGGGCGCCCAAGCCCTAGGTTGTCATGGACAGAAGGGAGAGGGAGACAGAACTCTGGGCAAACAGGGCCCGGCTCCAAAAAAAGGAGGGGGCGGAGACAGGTGCAGCCAGCAGGCTAAGGAGTGCTTCTCCTTCTCCTGCCCTCTCCAACTCTGGAGTGGTGGCCAGACTCTGGTCACCTAGTCCCAGCGGCCAGTGAAGGCACAGCCCCCTATCCAGCAGACGCGCGCGGGCGCACGCAGTCGGGGCGAAGGGGCGGCACCAAGGCGCGGGGCCCCACTCCCCGGCGCACGCGCACATGCACCCACGCCGGTGCAGCGCGCTCTCCCCGGCTCACCTGGCCGCGGCCCGACAGCGAGAAGGTGGCGTGGCTGGCGAAGCGTGCGGTGCCCAGGCGGGGCGCGCGGTCCGGAACCCCGGGCGCAGGAGGAGGGCTGGCCGTGCCAGGCGCGGGGGGCAGTCCGCTCGCCAAGCCGAGCGCCTCCACCTGGCGCGTCAAGCGCTCGAGCTGCGCCTGCAGCCGCTGGTTGTCGCGCTGCAGCTCGGCCACGGTGCGCGCCAACGGGCCGGCCAGACGCAGTGCCTCGGCCACGCGCCGCTCCACGCCGCGCTGCAGCCCCTGCATGTCCTCGTGCAGCGCGCGCACCGCGCCCTCCAGCGCCGCCTCATAGCGGCCCAGCGCCTCGCGCACAGAGTGCGCCTCCTCGGCGTCGGGGGCTGGCTCCATGGCCGAGCAGGGCGCACAGGTCTCAGAGCAGCCGGGTAAGGGAGAGGATCCGAGCTCTGCAGCTCGGTGCCGCGACTGGCCGCCGGGGGTTGGCTTCGCCCGAGGGGCGGCCAGAGGGGCGGACTCGGGGCGGGGCGGGCCCCGCGAGTCCCGGGACTGGACGCTGCGGGGGGCGGGGCCTCGGGGGCGGGGCCGGCTCGGGGACACCCCTGCCGCTGGGAGGCCAGAGGGACTGTTCGGGATGGAGGCCCCGAGGAAGTTTGCCAGGTCTCTCCTCTCCCCGGCGTGCAGAGCCGCAGGGGAAGTGCCGAGTCGGAGCACCCCCCCCTAAAACGGAGGAGCTGCGTGCGGCCTGGGGGAGGGACTGCGGGCCCACCGGAAGAAGGCTCTGGCCCCCAAGTGGCCTTTACTGTGGAGACCACAGCCAAGGGTTAAGCATTCCCTCAGGGCTTTCACCCGCAGGGGCCAGGTTCTGCTGGGGGCAGAGCCTCCCCCCAGCTCAGAGAGACCTGAGAGCAGCTGCAGCAGCGCCCAGCACTGCCAGCCTGACCCACAGTGCCCTCCCTACGGCTCTCAGTCGCGCATACTCACCTGTGGGACCTGCGCCTGGAATTTCTTGCACCTGTTATAAGACCTCAGGGAGGAGACAGGTGGTGAGATCCTCTCCCAGTCTCTACAATTATGGGCTGTCCCCGGCCAGCCCTACTCTGTGTAGCAAGATCTTTGTGCCCTTCCCACCAGTGGTCAGTAGGGGCTCCAAGCTTACCAAGGGACCCCTGCTAGGGGATCCTAGAGAGGCTGAGGGCAGACAGGGAAGAAAGGGTGTGCTTAGGGCTCAGTCGCCCACCACCCCCATAAGAGTCTCGGTCACTGGCCTCTGCGCACAGGCCAGGGTTCCCACCACTATTCCTTCTCAGGGCTCCTTCATGCCTGAACCCAGATGGTGCCCCCTTCCAGACCACACCCTCCCAACCATCACAAGAACAGGGAAGAGTGGAAACAGGTGTAGCTTTAGGATAGCGTGGTGGGCAAAGATAACTAAGTTTCCATGTATATAGTAAAAGTGATTTAAAATAAAAATGGGAACATATGTCATCCTTCTTTATGCAAAAAGCCTTTCCTGATTAGCCTTCTCTTTCCCAGGCCTGGCCTGCCTGAAGGAGGCCCAGAGGCTGGGCAGGCACGGCCAGATGACCCCCCACCACACCCCGAAGGCGAAGTCTGAAAGGCTTGTTCCTATTGTGTTGGGCTTCCAAGGATGTTTGGAGTCCACAAACCCCCCTGGGCTGCACTTCACTGCTCCAAAGGAGCTGGGTCAGCCTAACAGATGCTGACTGCTGCTTCTCTTCCCCGGCCCCAAGGGGACGCTGGGTTACCTAATCCAAGGAGCCTTCCAGCAATTATTTCATGAAAAAGTCAAATGCCAAAAGGCATACATGTTTTGTGTGTCTGTGTGTGTGCACGCGCATGTTCCAAGTAGCCGTCTGGACAGGCTGAGCCAAACCACTCCTCGAATTCTTTCTCCAGGTGGAATCTTTGATAGAGACCTTGAGAGCCGCTGCTGCTGCAGCTCTTACCCCAGACAGCGCTCAAATCTCCTCCAGGTCCCAGCACAAGAGCCTGGAGTTCTAAAACCCCGGTCTCAGCCAGAGAAATCCTGTCCCTTTCCCTTGCAAGACACAAGGAAGGACCATGTCAGGAAGTCTTAGGGGGGACTGGACAGGTTGGTCCCTGGCCCCACACCATTGTGTACCTGGACCATAGGCAGGCGGGGGCAGGGCAGACACTGTCCAGCCTTCTCCCCCATCCTGCAGGAGAAGGAAGGCTGACTGAGCAGGAGCAGGGGCCCAGCAGGGAGGAGGAGGTGATAGATTATAGGTACGGGCTGCCCTGGGTCCTTCCACAGTCTCCAACCTCAGGTAAGTTATCAGGACCCCTCCTGAGCCATCGTGGGAATATCTCGGAGGAGCTGCTTGGGGACAGGGCAGGGCTTCCTCTGGGGCTGAAGTAGGAACTCTGTCAAGGACAGAGGTGGGGGCTTGTGTTGTAGATTCTGGGGAGGCAGATGGTACAAAATTGAAACCATCCCACTTGGCTCCTTTCCCTCAGTAGTCAGACCACTGAGTCAGTAGCTGGAGACGAGCCTGGAAGAGCAGGAGAGATGAACCAGGAGCGGGGGGGAGAGGGGTCCAGGAGGGTAGGAGAGGGATGGAGGGAGGGAGGGAGAGGGTGATTCTGGGGTGGGAAGGGGGCGGGACCAAGGACCAGGACCATGCTCTGAGCCAACTCTGTGACAGGTGGGGGAGGCCACATCTTGGCTCCCAGGCCCAGGGGCCCCTCCCCCGCTCCTCCAGCTGGGCTCCTACCCGGTACCAGGCCGTGAGGGAGGTGAGGGCTGATGACCTGGCTGAACTCCCTCCACATTCACCAGCCCTGATGTCACGAGCAAGTGGAGGCCAACCTCCCACAGAGTCCCGGGGGCTCTGGCGCCTGCCCTTCCAGCTCCCCCTCACCTGGCTCTGACCTGCTGGGCACTTGCTCTGCTCTGATTGTGGGCTCCAAGCAGGATGTGGGACAAGCCTTCCCTCGGCTCCCTGCCAGTGGCTCACAAAATCAAATCCTTGCCGGGCCAAAACTACAAAGTTAGGGAGCTTGGAATCACAGACCTGATATGGGGAAACTGAGGCCCTGAGAGGAGCAGGGACTTGCCCAGGACCACACACCAAGACCACACAGCAGTGCAACCCAGGGCCCTGCCCTCAGGTTGGAGGTACAGTACTCCTTTTCCTGGGTGCTAGTCCCAGCTCACCTCCCAGCAACAGATTCAACCCATTCTGAGCAGCTCCTCCCTGCTCCCCAGATAGGCTGGAGGCTCCCCTTCCCCTGCAATTGCTCCTCAGAGGTCTCCACTGCCCCCCTGGCCCTCTGCCCACAGCCCCAGAGGACCACTCCCTCCCCTCCTCCCTCACCCAACTCTCCTTTTTGCCTTGCCCTCCCCAGTGACCTTCCTGGGTGGCTCTGAGCCAGACCCCTCCCCATCTATCCCACACACACACACACACACACACACACACACACACACACACACTCACCCTCCCTGGGTGGTGTCACTGCCCCCCATACCCGTGGGGCGCTTGCCTCCTCCATGCCGAGGACTCCCACCTTTGCTCCTGCAGCCCAGCCTCTCTCCTGAGCCCCTCTCCCTCTACCCACCCCTGCAGGGCCGGCACACTCCCAGTCTCCTCAGGCCCTGAGGAGACACGCGAGGCGCTTACAGGGTGGGGAAAGGACACAAGAAGTGGGATGATTCAGTCCTGCACTCGAGGCAGGAGTGGGCTCTGCCCACCTGCCTGGTACCACTGCTCCACCCTCTGTGCCGCGGGTCCGCATGCACGGACACTCATGTGCACACTGTGTGCACGCGCTGGACCCCACCATGGAGAGCAGAGCCATCTGTCTCAGCTGTTCGTCTGTCCCCACACCTGTCCCCCCAATCCAATAAATGTTGGGTTGATGTCTGGGAAGAGAGGACTGGGGAGTCACTGGGACCAGTGGGCCTGCAGGATGGATGGACAATGGGGGGGTGAGGGACGGGAAGGGGCAAAGGTGGCTCCCAAATTTTGGCTTGGGGGTATGGGGTCCCATTCACTAAGATGGGTCACAGAGAAGGTGCATTACAGGGATTGTGAGCTTGGGGTGGGGGAAGAGGGGGGTGCTCCAGGCCTGTCTCCAAGTCACGTCAGCCTTTGCACTGGGTCAAAGGCAGCTGTCCTTCTCATTGGAGATCCCTCTAAGCCCCTCTACTAGGAAGGACACAGGTAGGAAGAGGGTCAGGCCATGACTGGCCCTCCCACACACCCATACTGGCCCCCATGGCTGGGGCAGCTAGCAGGCCTGGCGATCAGCTTCCCAGCCCGGAAGGTGGGTGCAGCCAGCCGGACCCCACTCCTCTCAGTGTGCAGCTGCAGACACCCAAAGTGAGTAAGGTAACAAGGCCTCTAAGGAGGAGTCCACTCCAGTACTGACCCCCCCGCCCCTGGCAAACATACCATTCCCGCTCCTCCCAAATCCTGAGATCCAGCCCCTGCCCCTGGAAACCGTTGTCTTGCTGTAAGGTGCACAGGGGTGGAGACGCAGGGCTTACATTTATCTTTTCCTGCCAGGTTGCTGGTTCGGGAGCCAAGAGGAGGATAAGGAGGGAAGTGCACGATGTGGTGGAGGCTATGCAGGAACAGAGGCACCCCGATGGGCAAGTCTCGGAGCCCCCAAGTCTCATCTCCAGCAGGGACCCAGGGCAGTGCCAGGAGAGGGACACACAGGTCTCTACCCTATGCCCCCAGCTCTGCCTGCCTGAAGCAGGGCCCTCATGGGACCCTCAGGCCCTAGGAGGTTGGGAAGAGACTCCTGCCCCTGGGTGACTGCAGCTCCCCTCCACCAAACCTCTAAACTCCACTCCTCCTTCCCAGTGGACACTCTACCAGACACGTGTACTTTTTTTTGGTAGAGACAGGGTCTCACTATGTTGCCCAGGCTGGTCTTGAACTGCTGGCCTCAAGCCATCCTTCCACCTTGGCCTCCCAAAGTACAGGGATTACAGGCATGAGACACCACGCCTGGCCCACATAAGTACATATTTAATGTTCACCTTTTCCCCATGTATCCATCATGCGTGCTCATGCGTGTGTGGGTGTGTCTGTGTAGAGGAAAGATGTGGAGCTAAGGAGCCCATGCTCCTTGCCTGCACAGACCCTGCACAGATATGTGGGGGGGGGGGTATGTGCACATTTGTAAGGACCCATGCTCATAGGAGGAGTTTTTAATGCATTTGGTTATAGGTGGGAAACATGCATTTATATGCACATGTATGTATGTATGCCTGCAGTACATGTGTCAGCACAGACATCGGGATGTGTCCTATGCAGCCAATGCTGCCCACATTCTTGTACATGTGCATATGCTTCCATATACATACTAAATCATTGTGTGAGTGTGAGTTTGAACATGTATATCACATGCCCCATTTCTGGCTAGGGGCCTAGGAGTAGGGACCT